TTCTGCTTCTATATACCTCATCCTTCGCCTTCTCTCCCGGCGGTTCCACCGCTCCTTCCGTACATACGCCACCGCTGATGATGTTGTATCGCATTCTTCTGCTGCTGCTGCTGCTGAGGCGGTTACCGGAAACCGTTGTTTGGAGAATCAACGGAGTTCGGAAGATGAGAAATTACTTGAATCGTTACCGCTTTTTTGTTTCCGTTCTGTTACTGGAAATTTAACTGGCGTGGATTGTGCTGTTTGTTTATCGAAATTTGAGCCGGACGATCAGTTACGTCTGCTTCCGCTGTGTTTACACGCGTTCCACAGCGGTTGTATAGACGCGTGGCTTGTAACAAACCAAACTTGTCCTCTCTGCAGGTCTCCTGTGTATCCTACGGACGCAGATGTGCTCAGTAAAGTGTTAGCGGCGGAAAACAACGACGCTCGCGCCGGGAATAATGAGCTACGGAATAGTGGTAGTTTTCGGATTGAGTTCGGTAGTGTAAGTCGCCGACGTGGCGGTTCCGATTCACTCGGTGGTGATGGTCAGAGATCGTACTCGATTGGCTCGTTCGAGTATATTGTGGATGACGGTTACGAACTTTCAGCTGGCTCTATTCACCAAAGAGGTGCTTCTGAATGCACTGACAAGGAATCGATCGGAGTACCGATACCGGCGCCTCCTGGAGAAAGCATAGCTTCGGATGTTTCCGGTGGTGGACGGAGTTGGCTTAGGGACTATGTTGATAGAATCGCTTCACTTTCTCTCTCATCTCGCTCAGTGTCATTTCGGAGCTCCGGAAGGTTTTTCAACGGAAGTAGCCGGCGGAGCGACACCGTCGTTCCCATTGACGATTTGGAAGCTGGCCGGGTTGGGGAGGAGATTAGCGAATTGTTTCGCTGGCTCTCAGGGGTATGAGTTTGTATATTCGTTTGCATTACAGGGGCAAAATTGTCTTTTAGTATACTCTCTTGATATACACTAAAAAGGTGGAAAAAAAACCATCAAAGATTTGCTATTTCCACTCCAATATCCATTATTTTTGTGAGTGGATTTTAGCAACCAAAAAAATTAGTGTGTACATAGTAGAAACCCATTTTTTACATTTTTTTGTTTTACATTTTTCTTTTTTAATCTAGGTTAAAGCATGTCCATGAATGGTAATGATTCTATTCTTTGCGAGGATTTGAAAAAATCACAAGTCAAAATAGCACTATTGTTGGAGTGATTATTGGGATTGAATAGGTAGCGATGAGTTGGTTGGGGTTTTAAATGAAATCATATAAAAAAAAATAGTGTTCTCATTAATATTTCAACTTGGTTGGAACTTAACTTGTTCAATTGGTATTAAATTCTTACTTAATAACAATAATACATCATTAGTAAAGATATGGTCAAAGTTTCATATGTAAGGATATCAATTGGTGGTTAGTTAACCAAAAATCCAAGCAAATAAGCTAACCTTGTGTCAACGAACTATAGGGGGACGAATCCATTATATATCCTCTTGGAGTCGATTATTATGTGTTTATAGAAGACAAAAAGGGGTCAAGACCCAGGCTATAAATGGCCCCCATTTAGCTGTAAAAAAAATGTTGGTCCTATAATTTTTCTACTTTAATATTTTGATAGACCCTCCTGGCCTCTTCTCCTACCCCTAACAAGAAGGACCCAACGTGGCAATAAAGAAATAAAACAATTAATTGTTCCTTGTTAGCGTACGTTTTCTGCATATTTACCTAAAGTAACAACCATTTTTTGGGGGGTTGACCGTTTAGTTGTGGGTAGAGAAAGATCTATAATTTTAAATTAGTGGATACAAAGTAGCATTACCACATAATATTTCTTCATTTCAACTATGATATGATATTCAATTAGCGTCTAATCAAATTACTTAAACGGTAATGATCTAACATATTATAACATATCAAATTACACATTAAATAAGTTAGCAGATTTTTTGAATCAGATTTATTTTCAAATACTCCTATCTGTTTAATCAAAGTCTTTAAATATTTTACGTTTCCAAAACAGCTCAAACTAGATTTTGAGTTTTTGATACTTTCACTTCCGAAATTTCCATGTTTTTTCCAAGTAGAATACATATTCAAATATAACTTTTTTTTTAACTCAAATTTTCTAATTATAAATTTTAATTTTAAAATCTATGATCAACTGAGAGCGAAGTTTAAGTTGGGGGGAAGGACTTTGACTTGAGAAGCACAAGGGTATGAAAACTATTCTTATATGGCAGCAAGTTGTTTATAGTTTTGACATTCTTTTGTCAACGTATGTATGTACCAAATAGTTGTGCAAACATGTGATGTGAATTCTCCAATATTAGGTTATAGATCAATTATTTTTGTCCCAAAAGTCCTTATCATTAATTAATTAAGATTTCAAACTAGGATTCTTTGACGTGCCCTGTCATGCACACATAGTTTATCCTATCTTACTAGGTAATGACATGTACGTGTTTTAAGATTTTACTCTTCCTATTATTTATATTTATACAAGGAAATTCATTGACCACCAAACTTCTTCAAGATATTATGTCATCCCATATGTGTAATATAATTTCTCATGTCATCCCATATGTGTAATATAATTTCTCATGTTTGATGTTCGTAGTCTATATATTAGAGTCTCTATTAAATTTGAATCGCACACTGTAGGGTTCATTATAGGTTGATGCTTCCAACATGATTTTCTTTTTCATACCCTAGACTCGAACTCGAGACATCTAGTTAAAGATGAAGCAATCCAGCGGTGGCACCACAACCATGTTGGTTGATATATACTTCTTTGACTATTCACCTTAATTACGAGAACAATTTAAACACTTGTACCTACGCCGTTTGCCTCAATTGCTCTCTTCAACTATTTACCAAAGAAAACTTGCAAATATTTTATCTAAAATTATATTCTATAAAAATTAAATTTGATACTCAAATCTTTCTCTAGTCTCATGTTACTCCTATTGAACTTTTAGATTAAGTGGAGTTATTATAATATGATCAACAGCTCAAATGGAGCAACATGAATATTGATAATTCGTCATACAACAAACACAACTTGCTTTGAATTGAGACATAATTATAGCTATTATTAATTGTTGTTGTGAGTCGTCTTTATTAAAATTAAAATATTATAGAATTCATGGTAAATGCTTGAAGTTTCTATCCTATTTTTAACAAATGCATAATTGCATACAAGTAAAAAAAGAAGAAGTTATCAGTCTGATACACTAAGCTCCTGCTATGCCTAGGATTTAGGAAAAGATCGGATCACAAGGGTCTATTGTATGCAGCCTTATCCTAAAAATTTTACAGGAATTATTTTCACAACTCGAATTCGTGATCTCCCAGATTAAAATTATAAGACAAGTCATGTTTCCAAGAAAACATATTGGAATATTTCCTAAACATGAATATTGCTTTTTTAGTTGGTACATTAGCTCATATACTTGTGTGATGAAAAAGGGCAAAAAGAGAGAAGAACAAAAGAAAAAAACAGTTGATCAAACAAAAATAAAGCAAGGGGGCAACAAGAAGATGCTTTAAGAAAGATTAATACTTGTAGTAGTAGAAGAAGAATATTATTTTCAGGTAAATTTTGAGGTCACTTGTTTCATGATTTAGAGAAATAAAAAACATAAATATAGTTGATCCAATCCAACAAAATAAAAAATAGCAACTTTTCCCGATATTGTCTTTAGTACTAATTCTACTAAATATATTTACTTGTCATGCACGCAGTCATAGAATCTCTTTCAAAATAAAAATTAATGTGTGGATAAATTAAAGGACTCAAATATGCAGCCAAATCTAAAGCAAACATTCGTCCATCAACTTTTTCTTTGTCAAAAAATAATTAATTAAAAATCTGATCTTTTGAATTTTAGGTATTTTTTTCATCTTTTCTAAATTTTTATTTAGGGGCTAGATAGATTGAATAGAAGAAAAAATCGCCTTTTAGTGTTGATACACAAGATAAGCATGTCATCTTTCTGTTGATCAGGTGAATTGAAGTTATTTTCCGGTTGATTTATACACATAGTCAAGTGCAAAGAATCATGCAATGTTTCATGTTGGTCTCTTTGTGTGTGTCATGACTAATGATTATATTGTGCGTTGATTTGTTACTTTGGGGTAAACTTGTATATATATTAACTTCATAAGTCAATTATTAACATTAAAGACGTTCAAGAATTTGAAACTCAAAGTTCAAATTTTGAATTTGCTTTTGTCAACCGCTAGCCCACACCCAAGGGTGCTATGTGGGGTTATAATGATATTGTTAGTTAATTTATTGTTTATAGGAGTTTCTTTAAAAGGACAAGTGTTAATTTGAGGTTAGTAGAGGTAAATTAGCTAGAAATTGTACGTGTATTGGATTAAGTCAACCTTAATCTCCCTAAAGTAAAATAGTCATCCTACATATTGCGTCTTGACTATGCACAGTGACACCAATATTAGGTGGGAAAAAAAGAAAAAAAAATAGTGACCCCAAATATTTTCAAGAAATATGCTGAAAAGTATGTATTATTTGCCAAATGGTTTCTGCTTTGAGTGCCTTCTGGCCTATGATTTTCTTTTGTTGGTTTTGGTAAGACCAACTATGTATGTGTACTTCACCAAATCTTTCATTTCATTGTGATCAGGTGGCTCCATATTTCTCTATAGTTATTACTTTTGGTCATACAGAAATATATATTTATTTTAAGAGGTTGAGATAGCTTAAACGTAAACGATATGGTCAATGTGAATTCATATAGCAACCTTAACTTACTCGTGATTGAGGCATAGTCGTTGTTATCGTATATTTTCTCTAAGTCTCTCGGTCACATAAGTATACTCTTATCATCATAAGATAAGAGTATGGAGGCCAAGAGATGTTAGGACTTAGGTCCAAGTCCCACCAGAGGATTTTTCTAATTGATGATAAACAGAACATTTAGATGTATAATATTCAGCAAAATGAGAGACAAAATTTTAGGTGAGTAGAGAGAGATATATAGTAATATCAGAAAAGTTTGAGAAGGAATTCTTGAAAGAAGATAACACAGAGCAGAACCAAAATCCCAATTTTGTTCGATAAAAGACCTTTGTCTCTATGTGCTCTGCTGCAAGGGAAGCTGGTTCCACTATAGCATCCTTTCTTCTGCTTAATCCCTTCACCAAGATCATCAAGTACGAATGTGGTGTTTCTCTGGCTACTACTAAACAAAATGCACCATAAGTAAGGTCCTTTGTGCTTGTGAGCTTTGATAATCCCCACTCCAACTTCAGTATAAGTTTTGTTCCTCAAAAGAGAAACAGTTCTTTTGTCATGAACAAGTACATTTGAGAAGGCTTCCAATGGCTCGACATACTTTGGTTGACAGCCGAGAATGTGACCAGATATGGTCCCAAAAGTGGGTAGCTCAACGCCACAGTTTGGAGCAAAAATTTCGGTGAAGTCATCTTCAGAAGGGTGACAATTTACACTGTTGTTTGAACTGCAGTTCCCCATGCATTCCTCTGCATATTGCAAGGCTATGCACCCAAGTCCAGGACTGTTGCTAAGTTGAGGAAGCTTTTGACCAGTTCTGTTCTTGTTAATGATATCAACAAGGTCATTTGCAGAATTTCCTGTAGCACTCAGCACAGCAAACAATGAGGTGCTGGTGTAAAGAAAGGGTACTAAATTCAATTGTTCCTTTAAATTCACATCAATTGCAAAACAATGCTATTTCAAAGTTCGAAGACAATATACTTAAGCTAGAAAAATTTGCTCAACTCCCTGATAATTTAGTTCTGTAGGTTATAGATGTTCCTCCGAAACTTAAGTTTCTAGAATCTGATCACTCAATGCTATATATAGTAATTAATCGCCCCCAGCTCTCAAGACCCATCGGGAGGTGTCAGATCTACAAGTTGACACTTAACCCTTTTTATGTCATTTGTTTCTAAAAAAATTCATGTTGTATTCCTTCATCTATCCAAAGAGGCAATGTGGTTGTAGTAGCCCTTGCTTTTAACTAATATCAGATGATAAGTTCTTACAGCCACCAATACCCTCCAAGCTTAAACTTCAGACACTGGCCAAGTCTACCCTTCTTCATTTTCCTCTTTACAACTCTTCCTTTAGAATACGACTTCTCTAAATATCGATTTCATAGCCCTTATGTATCTTGTTCATTCCTTAGAGGAATTGCAATTTTGGCTCCTTACTCGTAAACTTGGGTATTGCATTAGTGATCTCGGTCTAAAACTGAACTTGTAAATTCTTCCTTTAGCTTCTTTTCTTCTCCACTTTTTAGATAAATGGGTATTTCAGCTTCATAATACTAGGATCACTTAAAATTCCAGCGAAGAACATGAGGGAAGACAAACAAAAGGACAGAAGAGGATGAACTGTCTAAATGATGGAGGACTCAGGAAGTAAACAAAGGACTCTCCAGCATGAATGTAAGAGTGGACTAACAATCTAACTAACTAGCTCTTCTACCAGCTTACATTTTCATCAGTTATTTCAAATTGTTACAATGTAAAGAATTAGACATATTGAATGGCTTTTAGGACATGGGTACTAAAAAACTAAGTAGACCCTCTATTATTCAAATCCATTTCATTTGCTCAACATTCCTCCTCGAGTGTTCTTAAGGATCTCAGAGTATGTTAGACAAACCATACAAAAAAGATTAAAGCCAGGTATTCACTGTCAGAAAAATTGAGAATGCTGAATATAATAAATAAGATTGTGGAAGGATCAAAGACATAGTGCATCAAAGCCAGGCGGATTGTGTCCTTGAATTAATCAAATGAACGTGGTCGATTCACAAAAAGGAAGCTCGATAAGCATCAGGCAGCCTGTGACTCCATATGGGAGAAGGGGACAGAACCGTATTGTCTGAGTGAGTGAGCCAGTGCCTACCAAGTAAAAGTTTCTTGAAGAACACTAAAGTAATCCAAAAATCATATATAGTAAGCAAAATGTAGTAAGTGCTAAATGAAGCCAGGACTGTGACACAATTCTGTTCTGAGGGAGGGCAAGGGCAACTTCTTGCTACTAATTTCATAGTTAAGAATTTTTATTTTTCTAAAGAAAATTACACTTAGCATATCCTTCCAACTTTCTTCTTCTTAATATGTTTAATTCATGAGCAATTTGAATCAGCCCCAAATTTTAAACAATCTGGTTCCACCTGTGGTTACAAGTTAAGATCTATATGGGTTCAATGGGAACAAGTGGATATTGGTATCCATTACATCCAGTCCACAAACCTAAATATAGATTTGGCTTCATATATTACTATATCAACACTAGGAAACTAGAGTACTAGTTTAAGCTTCATCTTCTTTCTATGGACATGGATTCTTACAACACCAAAGACCTTTCTTACATCAAGAAAGCAAGTATTATAAATATGGAAATTTGTCTAGTAAAGCTAAAACATTAACTGCGATCAACTAGTCAAAACCCAACTGGAAATTAGAGTAGTAATGCTAAAACATCAACTAAAATCAACAAAAGCATGAATCTAGAGCCTAACTGCAATGCCACACCCCTTCCTCCCTCAACATATAAGTCCCTTTTTCAGCAATATATCATTTTTCATCAAATCCCCTCACTGTAAAAACAAAAAAAAACAGTTCTCACAAGGACTGACTAATTAGCCATTTTAGACTATGAAGATAACTCATCCAAAGATGAGTTTTTTAGAGCATAAACTTTTTAGACAACCAGATAGTTGGAAACAGAATACACTCCAAGTAAAATTGCCAAATGCCAAAAATAGCCAAGAAAATAAAAGGAATGGGAGTTTACCATGGTGCTTGGAGGAAACAAGAACAGCCAGGAGGAGACTCCAAAGAGCAAAATACTGAAAGCAGCAAAGCTTCTTCACCATCATAACAACCCAAAAAAGTGAGCTTGAGAAAAATGGGGATAAAAAGGAAAAAGGAGGAAACTTTCTGAGATGGGTGTCTGCCTATGACAATGTAGACAGGGTTAGTGTAGTTTGGAGAGTGAAAAAAGGGTTCATTCTTGGTGGAAACATAAAAAAGGGATGATTAGCAAGAAAGTATATAAATGATTGAGTTTGTTGCAAAGATTAAGGAGAAAGGAAGACAGTGGTGGTCCCAAGTAGCCGTTGTTTGATTTCTGTATTACAGCAAAAGTATGAGAAAATTCATTGTCCCCATCCACCACTCCATACATAAGAATGTTTGTTAATACTGATGACTAACATGGTTCATTACAAATTGGTTAATAGACACCTTATTATTCTAGTAAGTTAATTTTTAATGTAATTTACTATAGTGAAACAGATGTAAATGAAAATAAATTAAGCTCAACAAGCTAATGAGTGCCCTAAAACAATGTTAATGTTAGTGGCTTGATAAGTTAATTTGAGAGGGAGAGAGAAGTCTAGAGCAATTATGAGTTAGAGTTGAGAGGAAAAAAAAGATCTAATGCAAGTGCACGTTTAATCGAATGTGGATCACCATATTAGAAGTTGACTAATTTTTGCAAGTTTAACCAACTTCAAAAATAACTTTAAATATATATATGAGAGTGTCGTTGCAAAAGTTGTACCATTTATAGTTGACAATGCTTGGTTTATTAAAGAAAATTTAAACAATCTCAATAAAAGTTTTAGTTGTCAAGACAAAAATTCAAATATGTATAGATAAATTTTCAGGTGTTTCTTCAAATTTGTAATGATGTCATTTCTATTTTTTTTCAAGTTTTTTGACAATACTTATTTAGTTTTAAATCAATTTTTTATATTCACAATTCAAAACTCATTTCTTCAAATTAAGCATTACACCAATTGTTATAGATTTGAAAAAATACTACTACTAATACACTTCAACTAAGGAGGAGGAGGAGGAAGATAGAATATCAATTCATAACACTACCTTTATGCTGTTTAAAGTATATGAATATCAATATTACCATTTTAAAAAACAAACCTTTAGTAATGTTGAAAACATGAGATACAAACACTCGAGTAAGGAGTAAAAAGGTAGGTGTGCAAAATATTATTCATTAGGAGTAATAGGGTTTGGAGAAGATGTGATACAAATAATTCACTTGCACTTTATTTCCGCAATTCAAATATAGTAATTTATAAATTACACGAAAATAACTTTACCATTCTCAATGCTACCCCTTCACTACTCCAAATTTTGTGCAAGTATGGAACAATCTAGAAGAAACAATAATATTTTGTATGTGTATTTACAATTGTACCCTTCCCCACCCTTTTATTTTCCCTTCTTGGACTGTGTCACCAAACACCTAACACACACTATTCTCTGCTGCTCCTCTCTCCTTATCCATGGCGTCTACCTTCCTTACATTGGCTAAACCCTTCACTTCTCACTCCACAAATCTTCCTTCTTTCTCTCCTCAAAAACCCATTGGTACATATCTCACAACCCCATCTCCTTCTTCATGATATTTTATGTTTTCTTGTTATTTACTTTTACCCTTTTGGGTTTTGGACAGGTCTGAAAAGAAATTCTTTGAGAATTAATGCCATTTCCAAGAAATGGGAACCCACAAAGGTGACACCTTTATGCTTATTTTAAGTCAAAAGTGAATTACCTAAATTGTTATTTCAAGAAGGAATATGAAGAATGGATATTGATTTTGTTTTGTGATGAATATAGGTTGTGCCGCAAGCTGATAGAGTTCTGATTCGGTTAGAGGAGTTGCCTGAGGTACTTTCACACATGTCTCTTAATGGTTTCTCTTTTTTCCAATTTACCTAATTGAACTGTACTTTGTATGTGTTGTGCAAAATGGACTTGTGAATTTTGTTTGGTATTCGAGATGAGATAAGCAAGGATATCCTACAGGATTGTTATATCCCTAACATGGGATTTAATTAATCCCAAATTTTAACTCGGGATTTTTATCCTTATCCCATGTACTAAATGATTATGGAGTTCTATTGAAACCAGTGATTTGAGCACCACAGTTTTCACAACTAGATATGACTATGTAACTCGAATTTCTGTAGATGCTCAAAAGGGCCTTGATTGTTTTGCAATAGGTATTATCTGAAAAGCTTGTCCTTTTGTTCTCCTTGAGTCTTCCTGGAAATATTTATGTCTGGTTCTAAGGATTTCTACTGTTCGTTAGCGATAGGTTGTCTTTGAGAGAATTTAAACTAGTTTATTGTGTGGATGTACGTACATGTGATGCTTCAGTTGTGATAGAAAACATGCTAGTACAGTATGTTATATGTATATATCGATTCATCTTGCAATGGTCTCAGGAAGAATGAGTAATTTAATCTTTTACAATCTTTTTTCAAAATGAAGCTTTCTCTACATTTTCAGGCACAATTCATTTGTTCTACTTTTAGGTTTAGTACAACGTACTAGCATTTATTTTCTCTATTAGAGTCCAATGAGCATTTTTTTGTTTGTCCTCCCCACCTCCTATTTCCCTTAATGATTGTTTCTTGTTTGTAATGTTCCTGGAAATCTTATATACTTGGTTCCATAGCTGTGAAGAAATAACTCATTCTTGCTATTGTAGTAAAGAAGTCTGTATGATGGACATTCCCATTGATACAAGTTATTCGACCTACAACAATTATGGGCACATATGTGCATTAGCATAGGATAATTTTGATTTTGCTTCTTGTTATATAAGACTGGCCAGATACACAGCAATATGGATACATTCTTGTAATATTCACTTAAAGAAAGAGTTTGTGTGCAGAAATCTGCTGGTGGAGTATTGCTTCCAAAATCGGCAGTGAAGTTTGAGCGCTATCTTATGGGAGAAGTAAGTTTTAACTTATATGCATATTGTTTAGTCATTTGGACAGATTGGAGATGCTTATGATGGTATTATATTATATATCGTTTTGATGACTGACTGAGACTAATTTTGTTAATTTTAGGTTCTTTCTGTTGGTTCGGACGTTGCTCAAGTAGAGACAGGGAAGAAGGTAAGCCTATTGAAATTTTTGATTTTATGAATGTCTATCAAAGAGTAAGCTTTTAATTTTAATTTTATCTGTATGCTCCTGGTACTAGTTTCTTTGGAATGAATCGTAAAATTGTAGGGTTTTTGTACGTCTACTTCTAATCCCTGCTTCCTGCCTCCCATCCCTTGGTGGGGAGGGGTTGATGGCTTGTCTTACTGATCCTTTGTGTACTTTCTTCTGAATGAATGATATGGTTCTTTTGCAGGTTCTTTTCTCTGACATCAATGCTTATGAGGTACGCACTTTAGTTGTAAGCTGATCTATAATTGTGTCTATTGACATGCCTAAGTACCATCAGATACATAATCATCTTTTGGTCATTCCAGGATGATCCAAATTCTCTTCTTGATGAACTAGTGCTTATTTAGATAATAAAATCACACTTGCTATTTATGTCCTCTTCTAGTTTTGACAGGCAGCAGTTTCTGCAAAATAATCAAGACTTTTTTGGTTTATTTTATTCTCCTTAGTATTATTTATGTCTTAATATATTTTGGGGATCACAGAATATTAGATAAATGAGACTTGTCAAGACTGATCTTACCTGATAAACATAAGTAGAGTGCAACTGGAACTCTTACTGCCTACTCAAGCGTGATTTACTGGACAATATTGAAGCCTATCTAAAAAAACAAGTGTAACAATTGATGTTGATTTAAGCTTCCTCGTATATAGAGAAAGTAAAGGTTGCAGTGAAGAAGACTAACATCTACGATCAATAGTTCACTTAACTTGGTTATTAATGGGTAAAACTGCTGTTGGCCTAACCTGCTTATTACCTACTTCTTGGTAGTTTAATCCATATAGAATTCTCAACTAATATTTACGTTGACAAACTTGTTGAAGCATGGGCATCACATCCTATAGGATACGGCATACTGTTGTCCTATTCATTTAGATCATTTTAATCCCCATCAACATGTTCAGATTTGGTAATATCACTGGTTCTGATTCCTGTTGACTGTTGAGATGCTTTCAGAAATATCATCTAGGATGACGAATTGTTGGTTGTCAAAGCAGTTGATGTTAGCGTGGAGTCTATAGGGTGGTTGGCCTCTATAAGGCTGGACGCCGATGAATTGCTCTCAGTTTCAAACATGGTGTGTAATCAGATAGAAGTTAGCAAACGGGACTTAGTTAAAGATGTGAATCTTGCCAAACATTGCCAACACCTTAAAGTGTTTCACTCATTGCTAGATGACGAATCCAATTAGTTATAACAGGAACAATGAAAAATGAAAAGAAGCTTCTATAACACACTTCAATATGGTATAATAATATTTAACCTACTCATGTTAATGTTTCGATTAGCTCTGAATGATAGGCAGGCATGGGTAAGTCATAATAGTGAAATGCTGTTGCAGTGTCAAAGATAAGTGGGTGTTGCATTGTTTTTTGTTTTGTCTGGTCTGTGGTGCAGTTGTCTATCCAGTTTGCTCATCATTGATTTGGGGCAATATGTCAAACTAAAGGATGTATTATGTATTGGTTGTTATCTGATGCGTGTCAACTTCCGTTTTGAAAGTTATGCATAGCACCTACTTTCATTAGTGTCTGTTGTTGACAAATTAAATGATTTTTGTGAACTTATGTGCATCTCAAACTATCAGGTGGATTTGGGAACTGATGCAAGGCATTGTTTCTGCAAGGAAAGCGAGTTGCTGGCTTTGGTTGAGTGAAGTTTTCCCTCCCCATTTGAATTTTTATGATGTTATTGCGCGAAGTATTGTCAGGTGACATTGAGACTGCGGGATGTGTTGTAAAACCTCATCTTTTGTAACACAAAAATGTTGAGATATGTTTAGTGGATTTTGTTTCTGATGATTTATGGGCAAAAGTATTGAGATTGAGTTTTTTTCCGTCTTTATCTGATGTTTGCTGCATATAATTTCTCAGGAACCCCAAAAGTACTTTGTTGTATGTATGCCTGTTAACTTTACCATTCCTTCCTGCATATTCATCTAAACATAGCGGTTAACGCAGACACTCAAGGAGGATGAGAAGACTGATTCTCTGTCCTCTTCAACCTTGGTCCATGATTAGAATCTTAAAAAATTAATTTAGCTTGGGTCAATCAATGTCAATGGTCGATAGAAGAAAGAAAAAGGACAGTGAGTAAATCTCTATATTTGACGACATAAACCATCACTAGTCATGGGGAGGGGGAAGGGTATGCCAATTTACTTCTGTTTGGAAAGCCACCAGGTAATTGGAATTGGTGTAATTACTAGGGTAGTAGTCTAGTAATTACACTGACCTGTTTGGTTGCCACAGTGTAATTACACATGTCTTGTTTGGATGTCACAGTGTAATTACACATGTTCTGTTTGGATGCACAATTGCAATCATACAATTATAATAAATTTTAAAAATAAAAATTAATCATTTAAAATTTATACTAGACAAATAAGAAATTTTATAAATGACATTAAATTAAATATTTAAGATATATATTCTTTTTTGAAAATATATTAATTAATAAACATATTTACTGTAACTAATATTATGAAAAAAATAATTGATTTATATTTTTTCAAATTATATATTTCAATTGAATTGATCGTAACAACTAAAAGTATGAAGTTTCTACGAACATTGTGAAATGCATGTTTGATAAAAAGAATAGTAATATATAAATAAAATATCATAAATTATTAAATGTTTGACAAAAATATAATCTATCAAGTCTAATTAAAAAATGACGTGCAATGTAATATTACTAAAACAAATGAAACAAAAAATATAACATAAGCAATAAATTCAAAACAAAAAATTTAACATAATACTCTTATAACAAATTTCAACATAGCAATAAATATGATTTATTTTTATTTCTTCATAATAAAGAAAACGTAAGTCTATAACCTTACTTAACAATAAATTCTATTTTAATTTAAAAATTAGAATACTAATAAAATTATGCTAATGAGAAAATAAACATGGCATGAAGAAATAGACAATACGAGAAAATTACATAGAATCACGTAAAGTAGTGTTGAGAACAAGAATAAAATGAAATATAATAATAAAAAATAAAAAATAGACTTCTACAAATTTTTAGAATAATAAAAATAAAAATAAAAAGAAATTGAAATAATAGAAGTAAAAAAAATAAAAGTAGAAATTAAAAAAGAAAAGAAAAAGTAATCAGGTGGTAATTACACCATGTAATTACCAGCAATTCACATCCTCTGTCTGTGAATTGTAGAGTGTAATTACCCCTGCCAATTACACCAATTACATGCTGACCAAGTAATTACCTATCCTTCCAAACAAGACAAGACAATGTAATTACACCAATTACACCAAATCCAATTACCAGGGTGTCCTTCCAAACAGGCCCTAAAAGAATCTCGAATGCTTTCAAGTAGTGTAATACCATTGACAAATAGGAACATTTGATTTTCGAAACATCTCTAATAACGCCAAACTGGTATTATCGCTCAGTATCTTCTGGTCCTCTATAGAAGAAAGGGAATTCTAACATATGAGAAATTAAAAAGTGAGGAGAATAGTATTACAGAAAGAACAAAATTGCCTGTGAATCAGATGCAAGGGTCATTTGCCAAGAAATAATGTTTAGAAGAACACTAACTACAAAGCATTCAATATAAAAATAAACAATTCTAAAACTCAAATAGGCGTAACTCAATCATTCCCTCTTTCCTTTTGGGAGAATACCATGCTACCACTTTCCCAGACTTTAGAAGCTTTAAAGAGTAATTTAAACTGCATACAAAATCCTCCAATTGTACGCCAGCTGGTGAATTCAGCGAAAACTTTGAATCTACTCTGAACACAATTGGCCCAGCAACCTGCATTTGAAGGACAAACAAAAATTTAAAAATCATTGTCAAAAACATGATTACCCAAAAATAAAAAGGGGGAACAAAAGTTTTGCCATTCAAAGTTAGCATTGGAGAAGGATTCAGCTTTGGATATGCTCCCTGCTCAAATGTTGAGTTTGTAAGTCATAAAGTACCACAAGAAATAGTGGGTGAACAGCACTGATTTAAGTTCCCTATGAAACAGATTTAGTTAGTACAATATCAAGGTGTGTTTGGTATGAAGGATAATGTTTTCTTGGAAAATAACTTGTTTCCTGTTCTTGGTAAAGTAGGGAAAAGATGTTTCTAAGAACATTTTTATGTAATCTAGCAAAACACCATGGGGCGAGGTGGGTGGAAAGGGGTAGTTCAGGTGTGAGGGCTGGGAAAGGAGGGGTACGATGAGTTTGGAGTGCCACTAATAGAACTTGTTTTTTCTACTCGCACTAGAGAAGTCATTTCGGAAACAGCCTTTCTGCCTCCAAGAGGTAGGGGTAAGGTCTATGTACACTCTATCCTTCTAAGATCCCACCTGTAGTATTACCCTGGGTATATCGCTGTTTTTCTAGTGAAGTCATTTCCTGAGTTTTAAGGAGCTTGTTTTCTTAGAGAAATGTTTTTCAAAACATCTCGGACCAACCAAACATGAAAAAATTTACCAAACAAACCCTGAGTCCCACTTGTTTTTCCCCAAAATGCATCTACTCGTTACGGAAACTAAGGAGCTTAACCGATATTTAATAACTATGCTGATGCATTCAAGTGACCTCTGTAGACAATGTGACAGAAGAAATATTTGGAAGTTACCTGCTGCTGAAGTATCAATTCGAGTCTGGGTGAAGAGAGCACGTCTCTTGCATTATTAGATGATGCTTTTCTGAAGACTTTTGAAACCTGTTTGGCTAACGCTAAAGCAGATGAGACATCTAGACGAGCATCTACCCTTGTGAGGTCTCCAAAGGACTCTCTGAATTTACCATGTTGAAAAGTATAGCAAAGTGAACCAAATAGATCAACACCAAAGGGATTTCTATGCCTCGAAGCAGAGGAACTGCTGCTACCATTGTTGAGCCATGCCTCAAGAGTTCCCCCTAAGCAACAAGTTGAGGTACATGATTAGACAAGAGAATAGGCAAGTAAAGCTACTTTGTGAGTGCTGCGACTTTAACGTAGCATCATATATGCATAAAATTGTCACACCACCAATTCCATAAGAACCAATACAAGGAAATAGGCAAGTAAAGCTACTTTGTGAGTGCTGCGACTTTGGGGTAGCACCATTGGATAGCATCATATATGCATGAAATTGTCACACCGCCAATTTCATAAGAACCAATCGCGCTATGAAACTCCAACGAGTTCAGTTCCCCAAAGATTATAAAGTTGGTCAGCTTTTAATGGAAAATACTGTTCGCTTCTTCAATATTCCAGGAACATGCTGAAGAATTAACCATACCCATTAAGTTATTTAAATTTATTGAAGTAAAGAAAATAATACTTTTGAAGGGTGTGTAACAATTATCTTGAAGTGTTCCACATTGATTACAAAATACCTCCACATAAATAATTGAAATCCCAAGATTCTAGCAGAAGCACCACAACAAAGCTCATGTTGAGGAAAGAATAAGCTCAAACAGTTTATATTTATGAATAAACTAGGTATTTATCTTAGTGCTGTAGAATTGATTCTGATGATTCACATTCAGTTAGAAGTTAAGATCCAGATCCTGTATTCATACAAGATTGGTGTAGTTTAGCAAACCATGTCATAAAAGAATCTGGAAGCTACCAAGTTATATTCATTCAAGTACACTATAATTTTCTGTAAGCCAGTGAAGTTACCAATAATTCCAGATACTGCTGCATGAGGCTCTCTAAGAAGAATATCATAAGAAGGGCGATAAATCCGTCCCTTATCTGTTTCAATAATGATGTCCTCTTTTTTTTCCTTGATTCTCCAGAAATCTTTGCTCTTCTCATAAGAAACGGCTGCTTTTCCACATATTCCTTGCATCAGACTGAGTGGTGGCTCATCAGTAATGTTATCAACAGCCCGAGGATGGCCACCATTCTTATGTAAACCAAAACGGTATCGCAATCCATCCTCGGAAACCAGCGATGAACAGTCCAACGATACTGACTCTGGGACCTCCCAATATCTACCTTTATGGTCTAAGAATAGCTCAGGCCATGCTGCTTCCAAAGTAACATCATGCTCAGGAAGCTGCAATGAATTTAGAAGAATAGTGAATCAAACATCACAATGGTAAATGCTCATAAGCTGGGAACATAGTTTAAACCACATAGGAGCACGCTATGACAAATGCATGCATGTTTACATGTATGTTATAGTGTCCCGTATTAAATTTCTTTAATAAGTCAGGAATCCCCAAAATTTACTAAGCAACATTCTTCATCTTTTCCAAAGTGAGCTAGGAGAAATAAAACGGGGACCTTTTTTTTGTTTGTTTTTTTGATGAAGTAAGGTATTTCATTAAATAAGTAGCAGGCATATGCAGAATTACTGAATAAGCAAAAGGGCTCACAGAGAGCATAAGCAAAAGGTGTTAGCTTCATAGTACTAGAGAGCTAACAAAGTCAAGAAATTGTTCAGTGCTAAATACAGGGGTTAAATTATAACCCAACTAAACAGCATAAGTAAACATCTAGCTTTATGAGAGTGGTTTAGAGTTGAGTCATCTTATCGTCCTCCAGCTGAAGCAATTTCAGATTTCTTTCTCTACTGAAGTATTCCAATATCAACAAAGTGGCAACAGACTCCAAAATTTCATTTAAACAAAAGTGAGATGACTAAGCAAAATATCCTTTAGGAGTTATACAAGGAAAAACCATGTTTGTTATTTGGTGAAATGCACCACCAAAGTATACCTGTGGATATATAGACTAACGGTTACTTTTCTCAAAAAAAAAATATGCACCTTTGTCATTAAAAATAAAAAAAATATGCACCATCAAAGTAAATAAGAAGTAAAGTAGCCTTCTAGGTCCAAAACTCGAAGAATGTGACAGCCTAAGAGTGCAAAGAGACGATAATGCATGTCCTAAAGGGGCACAAATCTAAGGAAGAAAACAGAAAAACTGTATCAAAAAAATAGACACCCAACATATATTATATACCTACTCTGGATCCGCAAACAGGCTTAAAGGGTCAAATAAAAAGACCAAAATAGGCAAGCCAGAATCAGTCTGCATCATTTACGAAATCTAAAAGCATCAAATATAATTTCTACGCTGAAAATCCATCAAGCTTGCCCAAAAAACTGAATATTTGGCAAATGGCATGATTTTAAAACTTTGGCAATTTGTATCCTAAGATATTACACACATCATAATAAGTTTTTGAAGTGTGGTATTATGAAATTATGAGTTAATAGGATGAAGACGGTGGATGCAGCACCGCCATCCCAACTTTAGTAGTAGAAGCACGTTTAATGAGCAAAATGCATCTTTAAAATTAAAGCACATCTTGCCATATGGTGCATCAATAGTAATATGAGAAAATAAAGGTTAAATTTCTTTAAATCTTCTCTGGAAAATTTGAACACCTTAAACATATACTACAATCTTAAGCCTATTATTACTATCCTACTAAGAATATATAAGACTACTCCTAATCAAAGTGAAGATAGCACCAAAAAGCTAATTAACTTGGAGAAAATGAAAGATAATAAATAAAGCATCTAAAGAAACAAATATAACATTCCAATAGCAGTGCACCAACTGTTAAAGGACTTCAGATCCTTGCCTTATGAAAAAGCATGGCCCTCAAGCGGCGTCCTTTCTTCTCGCCATGCTTTTCCGTGCTCAATAACAGAGAAGAAGAGGGTGTCAGAGATAGCTGTGAGCACACACCAAAGGCATAAAGTGACTTCTCCAAGAAATGCTTGCCAATGTCTTTTAGTATCGGCAGCTCCCATTCATCCACACTGGACAACTCAGCTTTGATGTCAGATACCAGTTTCTTTGGTCGAAACTGACCTGTGAATCCAAGCCACCTATGAAGATGAATTCATAAACAAATAATTCATCTATCTTGTATATAAATAGGGGGCTTCTGGGAGTATCAACACCAATTTGAAATATAAAGGGAGAAGGCAACAAATTGGGTAGAGCAGGTTGGAGAATGAGCAAAATAGTCATTAATGGCTCTTTGACCAGTATGGTTATACAAGCACATGTAAGCAATCAGCTTTCAGCTATAAAAGAAATGAAGATCATAACAATATATTCTGAACATAGTCAAAAACATGAAAGGTTTGAAGCAAAGCATCTGATGGATAAAGAACTTTGGCAAAAAGCATATTATTTCTCTGCTGTTTCCAAAATGTGCACATCATCTTACTTGGTTTGAAAATAAGCTGAAAACCTTTCTACTTCAGAAATAAAGTCTTTTGTCTCCCCCACACCTAGCACATTGCAGTATGCATTCATTTTTCCACCCAAAGTCTTTTGATAAAAAGTCAACCATTTCAAGTATATGAACTTTGTGACCAATCAAAAGAAAGACATAAGAACTTTGTGTATTTTTAAACAACAAGGGTACTTTTTTCAGTCAATATAATTTTGTTTAGTATTTTAGACAGTTTGGTGTTCCTGAAGAAATATGTGCAGTTGCAAAATTATACTATACAAAAGTTTGAGTAGTTCAAGTTCAAGATCAGCAATGTTTTGCCACCTACACTAATAGCAGTCAACAACTATTTTGTGCATGTTCGATTCAACTTTTACTTACACATGAAACATTTATAGTAGTAAACATGATCTTTTACACATTATAACCTGAATAATTCACAGTTATTGTAGACAACATTTTGAATCTAATTGATATTCACTACAACATCTTGAGACATTGTAGGGTGATTTATAATTATAGTGTACTAATCAATAACCAATATATATAGGACACTCTTATAAGTTTTTCAGGTGCTACTTCTAGACTGAAGAAAAAATGACAAGTGATGTATATTTTAGTTATAGACTTCAACAAAGAAATAGAGGATATAGAGATTAGAATCTCCAATATAGTACAAGGTCACCTTACCAAGTTAAGTTAGATAATACACTGGACAATTTGCATTTCGACGTGTTGTCACTTTACCAGTAAGGTCAAGAACCAATATTATGCTATTAGAAAGAGAACACATTATTTTCCTATCTTCAGAGTAATTTGGAAAACAAAAGTAATCTTATCCATATATTCTTAGCTTTTTATTTTTTTTACTTTTGATAAGAATATTTTACATCCTGCTATGTCACTATAAAATGTTCTTCTTGAGCCCACGAAGTAAGAGATAGGTCTATGTACGCTCTACCAACCTCAGACCCCAACTATGGGATTACGTTAGGTATGTTGTCATTATAAAACACTTTTTTCCTTAAAAAGCAGGGATACCAAAAAACTCACAATTCCCTCACAGGTCCTCGGTAGATGAACAACATAGCAATCAACAAGCTCAATTCAGGTTCATATCATTCCAAGATCAAAATAATTTGTCTCTGCAATTAGAGGTTTTCTAAATATCACATTTATCCCTACACCAGATTTAACATTGCCGAAAACGATAATAAGCAAAAAGGATTCCAATTGCACAATGAAAACAATATGATGGCAGTCTATTGGTATAGGAAAACTCTCTATACATGAAAATGTGTTAAAATTGGAGTAGTAAGTTACCAGTTAGAAGTAGCAGCTTTAAACAAAAGTGACTGAAGAGCAAAAGAGCCCAATTCCTTCCGGGAAGTTGGAGAATAAGAGGGAATGATTCCGAGAGGAAATCCATTTCCGAGAAGAGAAAGTTGTTGGATTCTGAGAGCTTTACTGGCTGTGCTTCTATCAAGTGGTATGGGCTCCCCTGGAATGGCCCTAGCCGTCCCGTCTAGGGCTCTCGGTGTAGAAATATTGAGGTCCCAGAATGCTGCATCAATCGCCGTCCTCATGTTCACCATTTTTCTCTCCCGCCGGCCGGCCGGAGAAAACGAAGTTGGAGAGTGTGAAGGGAAGGGAAGGGAAGGGAAAATGTGGATACCTTCCTTATCTGTGACTGTGACTCTGTTTTGTAAAGGGAGGGGTTTTGAATTTTGGGGTTTAGCTGTTCATGGATTTTACTTAAAAAATGAAATTAAATAATTAATTTTATATTTTTAAATATTGATAATATTTTGTTTGATTTTTAATTTTAATTTATAAATATTTTATTTACGAAAGCAAAAACATTCAAAATTTAAATTTGCACGTCATATCGCCATTACACCTCAATATTATATGTGATATAATAATATTTATAATTTTAAAAGCATTCTATATTGATATGAGGTTACACACCCATAGAGCTTACCCTAAAACTGGGGGACATCGGACATCTTAATACTTAACTTAATAGATATTTGAAAAAAAAAATTGAAATATATAAATGGATTTTCAATAACATGCTTTATGTTTGTAAGCATTTTATTGAGTGAGCAAGTATTATTTTCTTTTGTATTTCTTATATCACTAAGAAAAAACTTTTTTTCACTTTCTCTTTATTGGAGTGCTTACCATCCGAGCAACTCTTGTTTATTTAAATGGCCGCATCATCCAAAAAATTTGGCTCTAAAAGTTACACTCCATCTTCAAATTTGTTTGGAGTATTTATAAAGATTTGTTAGTTTATATATCTTTATATGAACTATGAAGACCCTTTTTCAATTATTATTAATCAATTGCAGCAGAGAGGAAGTGACCAATTTGTTGTGATCTAAGTAAACGTCAATTGATTTTTAATTAATTGTTGAACTATCTAATCTTAATCAATGAAAAACTCATCGAAAATCTTCGGATCACTAAAATATTCTTCTGGTGAAATCTTTTTCATTTTTTGAATTTACCCTAACATTCAAAACACAAATTTATACGAGTCACCAAGTGTGTTACTAAAAATTTGGTTGTAGTTCAAGGGGCTTTTATACATTTCCCCCAAATATTATGTATCACATGATATACAGTTTTTAACCACAAATTGTGGCTCACGTAAGGTAAAAAGATATGGTTTTATAAGCTAGACAAAATTGCCACATTTTAAAAGTGTGGCCATAGATGATAGAACTGACAAAAGTGTGGCTATTATGTAAAGTATGTCATGTATAGTCAGAAGGTACTAGTAAGAACGATAAGGTTAGGGGTGTTCATGAGTCCTTCTGAATCAGTTATTGATTAAAATAAAAATAAAAATTCAGATAAAGGATAAAAAGCAAGACAAAGTAAAATAATTAATTAACAATAATAATTTTAAAAAACGAAATTCTTTCAATTAATTGAACCAAAATAAATACAATATATATTGTAAAATAAACCCTCAAGATAAATGTTTTCTTCTTACAAAGCAATCTATCAAATAACACCTAGCAATAACGACCTTAGGTCTTTAAGCTTTTAACTCATTCAAGAGCTAACTACTCAAGTGAATATTCATATCATCTAACATGATCCAAGTCAAAAGGAGCTATTCTCCACTATTTATAGCTTAAGCTAATTGTTACAAAATACACTCAATGAAATAAGAGTCTTTTTAGATAAGAAAAAAAACTTGTATTTTAGAAATAATCATTTTGCATACATAGCCTCTTTTCTTAGAGGCGTATCCAGGATCTCGGCTAGATGGGTGCACGATTACGAAAAATTGTATCTCTAATATAAATTGATCGATTTGACTTTTAGTTTGTAATATGAATCATAAAAGTTTAAAAATTATAGATCCAAAATATATAATACTACTAGTTTTAAATTTTAATATACACATTTGATTTAATTATATAAAAAATTTACAATGCTAAATTTTTTAGGAATTCTCAATGTAACACACTTGAAAATTTTGAAAGAATAAAGGAAAAAAACAAAAGAAAAATTAGTTGAAACGACAAAAGTGTAACTGATAACCACTTGGAAAAGTGTTACTCAAAGAAACAAGATAGATATAAGATTTAAATTTCTATCTCTCACTTAGAGAAGTACACCCAATCATTATCGCATTTTTATATGATACTTTAAACATGGGTTCACACATCTATATTTAAATATTTTTTTAAAAAATATAACACTACTATATATGATCTAGAGAGAGGAGCATGGATTCACGTGAACCCACGGCACCCCCTCTAGATACGCCTCTGTCTTTTCTCCTTTCTCCAAGTAATCTTTTAATTGGAGCCTTGTACTTTTTCAGTTTAACACATTTTTGGGCTTCAACTCTTTATTCCAATGCGTCCTCCAAACTCTCTAAGTAACGATTTAACAAAAAGTCTACAAACTTCTTAAATTAACCTCACGTGCAAGATCTTAATAAAATTCGAGTTGCATCATAAGATAATAATGGTCACATTTTAAAAGTATAGCTATAGGCTATAGCTAGCTAGGACATAAAAAGTGTTATCACAGGGCCTAACTCTTGATTAATGAAAAGGCCTAATTTTTTTGTAAAAATGGTATATCCATACAGTATAATTTTTGCCTCATGAACAACGCCCCCTGATAGTGGCAAGTAAATTATACAAATAAAAATATTTGTAGCAACGAAATTATAGCGATGAAGAATAATTAAGTAAACTGTAGCTAAGGAGACTTATTAAGTTTAATGTCTTTACTATTTATGAAATTTCCACTTTTTAAAAAGGTTAATCTCAAGTATAATAATAAGTGTTGATCGAGTTGTTGGGTATTTGCTCTGAGTTTCTTATCATAAATAGTTTTTCTTTTCTTAAAAGAAAAACATAAAGTCTTCATATTTGGCTAGTCCTTTTTTTGTGGGAAAAGGTTGAGGACTCTATAAACAGAGATTCATTCCTTCTAACTTAATAGCATTCACAATGTAGTTCTAGGGGCTTTGCGATTTTTATTAGGGGGGGAATTTGTTGGACACAAGTTATCACTTGTGTGAACCTCTCTGTATTCCGATTAAATTGGGTGAGGTTCTTTCTCTCTATATTTTGTACTCTAATATTTATGTAGTGGATTGTTCATCTCCTTTGTGGATGTAGGTCGGTTGACCGAACCACACTATTTTTTGTGTCTTTTGATATATTTCTCGTTTGTCTTATTACTCATGACTTTTTTTAGATTTTCTTTGTTAGCTTCCGCATGACACATAATTATTTTCGATCATAACATGAGCATCAACATGAACTGTGCTAAGATGATTGAGATTTATTTATCTTTGATCAAAAGTTTCACTTTCAAGGCTTCAAGTCCCTAAGAATGAAGAAAAACATGTTGGGAGCCCTGTCCCTAATATTTGGTATACAATGTGTGATTTCAAATTTAATCGGCCTTCAATAGAAATACCAGATACCATATGAGAAATATAAGAAAGGTGAAATGGTCTGGTGGACCCTTGTACTTGTATTAGTTTGTATTATGAACCCTTCTACTTATCCTTGTGTCATTTGAACCCTTAAACTCAATAAAACACAATTTATCAAACCCCTCTGACCATTGACCACGCTTATGTGTCTTTAAGATGGCTGAGTTGGCGAAGGTGTGTGACTTCACGCTCCTTAAGGCGAGTGAGTACTATATTTCAATTTTAAAAATATTAGTAAAAGAATAAAATAATACAAAAATTAAAAAATTAATGAAAAAGTCTCCATCTTCTTCACCCACTCCACTTTAAATTGCAGCCATCTCCATGCCCGACCCTTTTTTTTTTCTTTCCATACTCTTGTCATCATCTTTAAGAGATCTTGGCATTGAAACCTCCTTGAGTCCATTGATTCTCCGCTAGAGGGAGAGGTCGATGGTGGTGGTGCTCGTCAGAGAAAATTGGTTCGCAGTAGAGTGAGAGAGACGGTGCTATTCAGTGGAGGGGAGAATGAGGCAGGTGAGGATTGGAGGATCTAGTTACGACAACGAAGAGATTTCGATCAGATCTGGTTGTGCGGTGGCGGCGACTGCATAGGTTGGTAGTTTTGTGATGGTTGAAGGAGGAGGAAAGGAAAATAGCGAGACTTGTATGGCAGAGATGAAAGACGGGTGAGGAAAAGAGTATAGGCAATCTCGCCGGCAAGAGTTTCTCCAATGGATTTTGTCTGTTTTAAGGTGGGAATGGAGGAGAAGATGTAGGAGTTTCAAAATTTAATTTTAAGGAATAAATATAAATTTTATTGTTTTACTTTTTATTAAATAATTTTGGTTAATAAATTTTAAAAATAGTTAATAAAGATAATTATGACATGTCATTGATATAGGTGATATGGATTTGACATGACATCAATTTAAGGGAGAGTGAACTACACACATGATAAGAAGGGTTTAAAAATCTTATTTGGATTGAGTATAAGGGTTCAGTTAATAAAGAGTTAAATAGAAGGATCCATAATACAAATGCGTACAAATACGAGGGTCTATTGGATAATTTCGCCTATTAAGAAATTGAGGATTTCTCGGGCAATCATTGATTTGCTTTGTAAGTTGTAACACTAGTTAAACTTAGGCAAGTGGACGTATACATTATGCTTAAAGCAACAACAAATATTATTTGTCTTGACTTACAATGGTTAATGTTTGAATTCATCCCTCTCATATATATTTTTTTGTGGTTGGAGTTAAATTAAAGGTAACCATTAGTGACATGTGCTTGAATTTCATGTGTGAAAATGAAATGTTTCCTTAGCAAAAGTGCATCTTAATTAGGCACCAAACTTGACATGTAGATATATGATGCGTATAAGCAATTGAAAAAATTAGGGGCCCTAATTTGTTCATCAGTTTAGGATGTATACATAATTATTAATTAAATTCTAGACAATTCTAAATGTGAAATAAAGTTACTTTTGAGTATAACTTGTTGAATATAATTTTCAACCCAACTAGGAAGTTAATAAACAATTCCAAGTAACTTTTTTCCGGAATAAGTTCATCATTTCCAATAATGTTTATGAAAGGTTTCTATGATTCACTTTTGCATATTCAAATAAAATGTATCTTAATTATTATTAATAAATAAATTACTCGAGCCTAGAATCTATCAAAAA